CGGGGGGCAGCTGGGCACGGCCCATGACAGCCCTCGGGGCTGCAGTGGCCAGTGGGGAGGGGGTGCAGCGGGGAACGACCCCTCTCCCGTCCCCCAGCCCTGCCCTTTGCCTCGGCAGTGGAGCGGGACAGACGTTTGACGCTTCGCTCTGGTCTCAGCTGAGCTCTGTCCCCAGCCCCTGCTGAGCTGCCCCGGGGGGCGGCAGCTCAGCGCCCTCGTGTCGGAGCCTCCGCCAACGCTCCGGTTCTCAGCCTGGCTGCGCCTGTTGTGTGAATTGGGGGTTTCCCTGCCCCGCATGCAGCTCTGCACGTGGCTCCATCCCCGGGGCGAGGGCTTCGCCGTCCGGCTGCCCTCCGCTCCTGTGTGCGTGTGCAGGGCAGCGGGAGGGCGAGGGAGCAGCACGCCCCTTCCCTCTGACCCCCGGCCGGCATTTGCAGGTGGCCAGCGTGAGGAAGACCACGGTCCTGGACGTGATGAGAAGACTGCTGCAGCCTAAAAACGTGATGGTGTCCACGGGGCGAGACAGGCAGACCAACCACTGCTACATCGCCATCCTCAACATCATCCAGGGGGAGGTGGACCCGACGCAGGTGAGTTCCCACAACCATCAGATGCTGATGGCAACAGCGTGGCCCCTGTGCTGGGCCCCTGGGGCGAGACCGAGTGGTGCCTGAAAACTGGCTCCTGTGGAAAGCTGCTCCTGTGTGGGCCCTGTCCTCGTGGAAAGGCTGTAGTCCCTTGCCGTGAGGAGCCACCCTGCCTGCTGTTTGCTGAAGTCCCCTGTCCTGAGGCCGTATGTCCTGCGAGGAGCAGCTCCTGGGTCTGCTGGGACCAGGCTGCTCTGCCCGTCACCCTGCTGCTCTCGTCCCGCCAGGTTCACAAGAGTCTGCAGCGGATCCGGGAGAGGAAACTGGCCAACTTCATCCCCTGGGGTCCTGCCAGCATCCAGGTGGCTTTGTCTCGCAAGTCCCCCTACCTGCCGTCGGCACACCGCGTCAGCGGCCTCATGATGGCAAACCACACCAACATCTCCTCGGTGAGTGCCTTCCCTCTACCCCGCCGGCAGCACGGGGGCCCCGCAGCTGCAGCTCGGATGCCCTTTCCATTGCAAACGCGTCGTCTCTGGGGCTTTTGCGAAGCCGGGGCGGGCCCTGCAGAGGAGAGGAGGGCGGGCAGCTCCCAGCTGGGCACAGAGGGCTCGGGGCTGGACCTGGCAGTGCCGCTGTGCCCGGAGCAGGCTCCGGCAGGACATGATCTCCCTGGCCAAAGGCAGCCTCGGAAGCGCCATCAGGTCCCGAGTGGTGGCTGGGGGCAGGGTAGCAGCTC